AAATAATCATTTACACACTTCTGTAAACAAAGCAATGAATGGCTGTGGAGCTGCCTTTACCCCAAGAGGAGGCCGTGACCTCTCCCCTCTCCAACAGCTTTGGGGAAGAGAAGTGAGATGTGGAGTGGACATTAACAGAAAATTAACCGCCAAAAATATTCACTTTACTCCATTTTGGTAAATGCAGTGTTTTAATGGGACTTCCACTGAAAAGCAGGGGAAGCTCTGGGCCCAAACACAGCGCTGGATTTTGATGTATGCTGTTGACTTCCCCAACACAGAGCAATTTGTAATAGCTTTGCCACGCTGTTGTTTTCAAAGCTCCTGCTACATCACAAGCATTTATTTCTGACCACAAAATTACATTTATTCAACAGAAAGCAGCTCAGGGTCTTTAAGAGGTTAACTTCTGGAGTGCTTGGCTGCTCTCCAGCCTCTGTACGAGCATCAGTGCTAACGCAAGGCACACAACAGCACCCAGGCTGGCCGTGATTAATAGAGTGCTGAACACGCTGCTTTCCACATACACACACTTTTCATTCCCTTGCTTCCATAGATCATGGACTTATCCTCAAAATATCTGACTGAAATTGAATTTGGCTTCTCTCTCAACCGTTCATTTCCTATGTTATGCAAGGTTATATCCTTTTCTGCATGAGCAGAACCAAACCAGCTGCAGCTTTTGAGAAGAAAATGTGTTTTCAATTATGAAGCTGGCCTGAATATTGAACCACAGTTCTACTGCTACTCTAATTGAGCCATCATGGAGTGAACCTACAGGAAAGAAATTGTATTAATTAGGTTTGGAAATTTAACATGAGGAAATTAAAGGGGGTAAAATAAAAAAAAAATAAAATATATGAGGTATCAGCTCAGGAATACTTCAAAATGCAGAAGGAATGTAGGTCTGTAGTGGTTTAGGCACACACATTATTAGAGTACCCCTTCAAAGGCACGATTAGGAGTTCCAGCACATCAAACTGATTTTCAGCTTCTGTTGTCTGCATATGGAAAATTATCAAATTACTCCACTGACCAAATTAATAGTTTAAAGAGCAATTCAGCTAAGTGGGGAGCCAGAGTGGTCTCCTCAGAATGGCAATACCCTTAAAAGCACTTGCTCTGTGAGAAGAACATGAGAAATGGCTTTCACAGAAAGCAAGTCCAGTTCGTTGTTTCGGAGTCTGTGCCTTAAAGGGTTCCCCAAGTGAGGGATTACTGCATTACTGTTGGACAGTGCTCTTATGCCACATGAAAAGAATGGTAATGACCTCAGGAAATCCTTTCCCAGCCTTAAAATATCTGTCTGATGACTTCACAAATACGGATTCCAACATTAGATCTCCATACCACAACTTTGGCTCCGTGAATTAACACAGCCCCAAGACCATCAACTCCCTTTTGCTTTCTTCCTTTCATGTACAAACATCCAGGCACTGATGTGCCCATGGTAAAGCACAGTGACCTACCCAAAACACAGCTTGTTCACATGGCTGCTTGCAGGAGGGCCTTGCAAATTATATATAATCATTTCATGACTGGATGATAAAGCTCTTTAACCTCTTTCTGATTCTGTCCTGTATTTAGCCCAGCATAGGGTGAGCAAACCATTAATAAGTTGCATCCTCAGGTTAATGGTAAGGAAAAGGAAAAAAAAAAAAAAAGATAGATTTAAGACAGAAGTGACAGGAATTTTACAACTCTTAAATGAATGACTTTAATTGTCTTCTCACAATAGCCTTTTTGCACTATCCAGACCTTAAATCTTTCAGGAAAGCCAGAAGAGTTACTCACAAAAATCAAAAGAACAATACCATCAGCTTTGAATCAGACACAACATTCTGCTCAATTAGAAAACTGCATTCAAATTTCCATTAAAATCCTAAATAAGGAAAAAGTACCATAATGAAACTATTCTCCAGTGATGAATTAATAGAGTCTCCTGCTGAACTAGGAATGCATTTTAATACTTGTAGTACGCTAAATTTCATTTCATAATGCTTTTACTTTAACTCATCATAAAAAAATCCAGTTACTTAGCACACTGAGATCTATACAAAAAAAGTTATTTCCAGCTACTAATGGAAACTGGCTATTTGATAACTGAAACAGTTTTTATCTGAATGAATGAGATAAATAACTAAGGAATACAGAATGTTCTGTACTGGGGGTTTATTTAGAAATTCATATTATACAAAAGGGAAAATATGGGGGGAAGTATCAATATTCCATGTTCAAAGGAAAGAAAAATTGGCTAAAGTGACCTGTGGATTTGTTTAAATAAAGTCAGCTGGCCCCAGGTTTACCAGCAGCTCCCATAAATCACACTTGGGAGGATACATAAATACCTGAGCTTAACTTCACCTCTCTCCAAGTCACGTCAGGCTCACCAAGGTTCAGTTCAAGGACAGTTTAAGTCAACCTGAGCTGACACATTTGCTCTGCTCCTGCCCTTGCCTTGGCTCTCCTGGCGTCCCCCCTGCACTGAGCTGCTGCTCTGAACCAACCTGGTGGGAAACTAAGCCAGCAAAAAAGGGAAAAAAAAAGAAAACTTTGTGCCCTGACATGGACACCTTTCACTAGACCAGGTTACTCAGAGCCCCATCCAACCTGCCCTTAAACAATTCCAGGGACAAATCTGGGGCTAAAAACTGATGTTTGTGTAGTAAAAGCAGGGCACCTCTTGCCCTCCTCCTCCTTCCTCCTCCCTGCTCACATCCCACAGGTACTGTGTGGCCAAAAGGTCCCTCTGCCAGCTCTCCCAGGACATTAAATATCAATTAACAGGTAACACACAATTGCAAAGCAATCCCACGGGGCTGGGGGGGTGGGTGTCCAGCAAAGCCATCTCGGGAAATGGTAATCAAGGCATCTCCAGTGGATCTGAAATGGGAAAAAGCCTATCTGCTTAACACAGCTTGTCCCTGAGATACCTGGAGCATTCATCTCCTGATCTTTTAGAAAGTCAGCCTTAACAACAAACAGAAACCAGATCTATATCCTGAACAATCAAATATAACTCAGCAGAACAGACCAATATCCTTCGTATTTTGATTTGTCTCCAAAACAAGATACAGTAATTACATCTATAATCAAATACCACAATTCACAGCTTAATGTTGTGCATTTATGTAGTCAATCATAATTAGTTCAGGTTTTTTAGGTTTCTAAAACCCTGTCTAGAGTAGGGAGACTGGAATCACCAGCTCAGAGATTCAGCAGCACAATCTCGTAACCTATTTGTGCTTTGTTTACATAACAGGGGATTTCTACCAACAAATTTTACTCCTGTGAGGTTGAATTTGTACCAAAATAAACTTAATTTTTGTATCAGTGAAGCAAAACTACAGAGGAGGAGTGTGTATGAGCCATACACAGGAACAGGGAGCTGTCTCTGGCGAGATCTAACGGGGAAATCTTCTTCACTGTAGCCAAATTTGGATTTATGCTTCTTATTTGATCCTCAGACATCCCCTTCATGAAAAACAGTGCTGAAAGCACACATGCACTTTTCAGTCAGTGCATTGCAAGCTTGAAACTGAAGTGAAAAAGGTTCTAAAAGCACTGCAATCCACTCAGAGCAATTTTAAAGTGTAAATTTCCATTGGCAAGCGGACTCGCACAAGTCATTCTTTGTTCTCACAAATGTCTATTAGATACATCAAGGACAAAGCTGTCATGTTTATTTATTTATTTCTAGCAATACATGGGAAACTGGGTTGTAAAATAAAAACTACCACACTGCTTTTAAATGAGGAGTTACTGCCTAGCTGGGATACAGCTTCAGCAGGATGTCCAAATGCAAGCCTCAGTAAGGGGAGCTGGGCACCTAATTCCCTGTGCTGACTCCTGCAAACATGCTTTGGGGGTTTATTTCCTGGATAACTTTAGGGGTACAGCTCTATAATGTGTAAGAGTATAAGCTAAAACCTGTATCCACCACTCCACACGGATCTTTATAAGGACAAATGGAATTTGCAACCTCCATCCCAGATGTTTTCCTAGCGGTGGTACCACAGCTCCCATCTGGCCTCACCTGAGTGAGCACCCCACTGCTGGCCACAGCAAAAATGGAAAATTCTCTAACTGGCCCAGCTGCCCCTGCCTATAGAAATACTTCAAAATAACAAGTTGGCTTTGAAACTCGTGAGCACTCTACTCGTGTGCTCTCAGTGGTGTGAAGAGAAATCAAAGTCGGAGCCAGCACCAGAGCTGTTAATGCTTTCTGTTGGTTTTCCAACAAACACCTGCCAACTTAAGGTTTTCCATCAGCCCTCTTAAATACAGTGTTTTACAGCTGAGAAGGTTTGCAGTGAGAACTGTTTGCAGCATCCTCACGTGCTGTGTAAGGACATTACACTGCACTCACGAGGAGCTCAAACCCTGAGGTCGGCGAGGCACAGCGAGCTGGATGTGCCACCTGGGTCATGCCACGGGGAGGAGATGCTGAGGGCTGCTGAGAGCAAAGTGGTGTGGCCAGTTTAGGTTGTCCAGCACAAACCCAGTGTATCACAGAATCACAGAAAGGATGGCAAGTGACCTTAAAGGTCTCTTTCCACCCCCCTGCCATGGGCAGGGACACCTTCCACCAGACCAGGTTGCTCAGAGCTCCATCTAACCTGGCTTTAAACACTTCCAGGGATGGGGCAGCCACAACTTGTCTGGACAACCTGTGCCAGGGCCTCACCAATCTCACAGGGAAGAATTTCTTCCTAATTTAAACCTACTTCTTCCTCATTTAAACCTACTCTCTGTCAGTTTGTAGCCGTTCTCCCTTGTCCTGTCACTCCATGCTCTTGCAAAAAAAGTCCCTCTCCATCTTTCTTACCCTCCAGGTGCACACACACATCCTGCACGCAGCAAAATGCAAAGGGCTGAGCCCCTGCCCTGCCCTGCCCAGGGGCTCTGTGCCCACCTGGCCATGCTCACAGACCACCAGCACACCAGGCTCGTGTGAAGCAGCACAAAAAGCACCATGAGAAGCATAAATAAGCTCTTACCTCTCCCTGGAAACTCTTCAGTAACGGAGCTACCTGTTTGCGCAGGTCCTGGAAGAGAGAAGCGAGACATTCCATCAGAAAAATCTGAAGGGACGGGTCATTGTCAAGTTTTTCCTGACGTTATTTTCGGTTCTGAAGTGCTGCTTAAATTCTGATCGCATTCTATGGGGGCTCTGATTAAAACAGGAGTGTACACTTTGAACAGGTCTGAATTCCCAGTCTGACATACACCTGTATCTGCTGCAAATGGTATTAATTATCAACACTGTGCTGATGTTGGGTAAGCACTGAATGCCTTCAGTCCCCTAATTCAGCTGAAACATTAATGAGATTAGAAGTAAATGCCTCTATCAGCGTCCACAGCAGCTACACCTCTGAACTTATGCCAAGGAAATTCCCACAGATGGGAGCCAGGCTTAAAGGAAGATGACTCTGGACCATCATTTCAATTAAGAGTGCTGCTATTTTGTAAAATCTCTATTTCTATTTGTTATTTTCTCAGGAGTGCTCTGATTTTAGCCATCAGAGAACTGGAGCACATTTAAGATGACAGTATTGTTTGTTGTAACTCAAAATCTCTTCTTCCAAATCACAACACACCTAGTGCTATAAAAGTCATTAAAATACTGCCCACAGAACCAATCTAATGGTTTATAGCATATTTTTACTTAGCAACCAAGATAACTTAGGACAAAAAAAGGTATATCTATTGTACATTGAATTCTCTCTGGCTCCACTTTTACGCTGGTTTGGGTCTAATTCACTTGAATTCTCATCATTCTCATCACATGAACGCCTGAAGAATAAAGTCCTATAATTTTACAGAGGACAATCTTGTTCATGCACAGCCAAGATGCTGGATTCCTGGCTTTGCCACTGACAAGACACGAGCAGTGACCTCATGGTGAACTTACACCTAGGAATAAACCTGGAAGAAGTAAAAACCAGTAAAACAATGCTGCATTTAGAAGGGCAGCACTGTTTTGGGAAGAAGGTGAATTTCCCATCCTTGGAGACTTCCAAGGCCCAGCTGACCAGACCCAGTGTGGGTGCTAAAGGCCCATTTTTAGGGCCAGGTGAGATTCTGTCAGACTCCCATCACTCCAGAGTCATGGGAACATGACTCACAACTGGGGCAGCCACCAAGTGCTCCTGTAACCACGGAATCTTCCTAACTCCACACAGGCCACAGTCCCTGAGCTACCTGAACCTCCTGCAGGAGGTCATAAAGAGGTCTTTGAAGTATTTTCTCTCTCTAAAAAGGGTCTGTTGAAGCCCTGAGCTTTTTGGAAAAGAAGGTGACCTTAAAAAAGTTGGGAAAGTCTCTTTTCCGACGCATTTACTTTCACATCTACAGTCAGGCAACATACTGGACATTAAACCACTCACCAAAACACTCTCAGCCCTGGGTTTAATCTGATTTTCCTGAAGGAAAAGTAGGCTTTTGAGAGAACTGATTTTTGTCATTTAAATGACAAGTCATGCAGAGAGTTGGAGTATCAGGAGTTCTCCCACTCCCTGAGAAATGGCTTAGGGGGCCAAAGGCAAATGAAGCTATCAAAGACAAATGATCAGCCAAATTTCACTTCTGACATGGTTATTGCACTAAAATACAGCTTAATCCCCATCAAGGATAATGTTGCAGCTTTCTAAGCTCCCTCTTCACACTGAACTGAACTGTGCTTCTGTTCTTACGCCAAGCCAAGTCACCTGAACGTTTCCTGATATCTCCTGCTGCCTGTTTTGGGAAAGGAAAAGGTTAGGAACTGTCCTTGCATATCACAACCACCTACAAATTACACCCCTACCAAAGCAAACTGGCAGGTTGAGCAGCTTTTCCCCACTCCCTGCCTCCTCAGGGAGACCCGAGGGCTGTGCACGTTTTATAACATGTTTTCTTTGTAACCTGACGATGCTGACATTGAAGAAAGTAACAATAACCAGGATGGCAAAATAAATGTCCACATTCAAGGCCAAAATCTGGCATGGGAGGTTTTAATGCACAGCAAAATTACACGCAGAGAATTAGATTTATAGTCCAAATACTGGCACCCTTTATAAAATCAGGAAAAATTATACCATCCAAGCAAAGCTTCTCTTGAAATACAAATATCAGCTGGTCAGAAATCACTGGTTTTAGGGCTTTTGTCCCTGGTATTGCCTCTGAATTTACTGACTACTTTGGCACCAGCCACGAAAGTGATGTCAGAAGTGAAAGCAGAAATACAGGAGATCTAATTCCAGATCCAGAGGCAGCAGAATGCAATCCTTGCCCCTCTCTGTCTGCATGGCAAGATCCTGCTATTTAACTGCATCCTCTGACACATCCAAACTTCTGAAAGACAGGATTTGCAGCACTTTTTATTTCATTACATAAACTATGCCAGGACTTCACCTCTTATTCATCTTGAATAATGAGATGTTGTTGGCTGTTTATAACAGAAAAGAGGGAGAGAAGGGGGGAGGAAAGGAATACAAGGAGCATCCCAAAGGCACGAAAACAGCTGGTCAAGCTGTCAAAGAGGGAGAAAAGCTTTCAGCTACAAACTCTGATTCCCACACAGCCTTCATTTAGGGAACTCAGGATGCCAAACACTCATCCCAGCCATCAGAACATTACCAAGCAAGATTCGTGCCATGATGGGAAAACCTGTCGTGCTTGATTCAGACAGAGGCTTTTGGTGGTGGTAAAACATCTCCTGCTAGAGGAGAAGGCAGCTCAAAGTGCTTCAGTCCCACTGGTTATCCCACTGCAATCAGTGCTGGGCAATCCCAGGACACGCTGGTCATCAGAGCACACACTTGAACAGAGTAAAATGCTCTGGCAACTCGAAATCTTCACAATAACTTGAAATCTCTTGCAGCTGAACAACTGAGACAGAGCATCCCCCTGCCATTACCTTCACAGAGCACACAGGTTTAGAAAAGGAACTGCGAGGAATGAGCTCCAGCATTTTGAACACAATCAAATACTTCAGGCAGGTGAGTGGATAAATGGCACGAGCCATCACAAAATGCACGAACCCCTTTTTCACACCAGTTTTTCTCTTCGCCCCTCTCTTCCAGCCTCCCCCTTGGAAAGAGTTTATAGGCTACTCGTTTAATTCCTTCCTTGACGAAACAACATCAAAACTTTAGACAGCTCACAATAAAAGGGAAATAAAAATAAACAGACAGAAGTCAGGAATACATATGCCTCGAGTCACCAGCTCCAACTCTGCCGGGGAGATTTATTTTTGGCAGTTTGGAAAAATTCCTCATCAGACTTTGTCTGGAAATATTACCCTAACTTCAAATAGAATTTTCTCTTCTTTACAGTAAATTGAACAGAAAGAAGGACGTTCAGTTCAGACCCGGGGGAATCTGCAGTGTTGGTTAGCAAGGACACCGCATGATTTATTATCTGTTTAAAGTGTGGTGGCCTTTACTGCCTGGGCTGTGATCAAAACAGGAAAAGCATCCAGCTCCAGCCCTCACACAGCTACCAAACCACTGCAGCCAAGCAGAACAGCTGAAAAGGGTACATGCAACTGAATGTTAAAACAAATTATAATTTATCAACATAAACACACTGAAATATTTGAGTATTCCTATACAATCCCATTATTAGCCTATTTTTCCGTGCCATCTAAATATGTGCATCCTCTCTCTCTCTGGATGATTTATCTGGGGTAGAGCAGTTTTCTGAAAAAGGCTGTATCACAGACAAACTCGGTATCTGAAGTAGAGCCTATGAATTAGGATGTTGTATCATTATCTGAATGAAATCTGATCGCTGAGAACCAGTATAGCGTTTTCTTTTTACAAGGGTATAAACAAAGAGTTTATATTTTGATCAAGTAGCTACACAATGAAATCTGAATCCACATAATTTTTAGCTGCCTTTCCATTCTCATTAAAAATAACTCCACGGAAAATAAACCAAGAATAAATCTAAGTTAAAATCCTGGGCAACAAATGCATCTTTCTGACAACTAAACTGCATTATTTATCTGTATTTTAATACACTGTGTACAGTACAAAGGACACATCAATGCTCAGGCTACCAACACTGTATCTGTAATTTACTTGAGGTCTGAAGCTACACAAGCACCTTCTGATCTCTTTGCAGGCTGCTCCATCTCATTTACCTCCCAAATGCTTATCTCTAAATGTCACAACAAGAGCCCTCTGACCCCCAGTTTGATAAAGTAGTCCAGCAAGGCTGAGCTTGACCTACACACCTTTATCAGCCACACACAAGTATTGTGCCCCTGTGAAACAAAACAAACCCCAAACCTGGGCAAGTGTTCTCTCGTGCACCACGTTTCCTATGGATGGTTCTACACATCGACTGCTGGAGACAGGCATTGGCTGGGGAATGTCACCGTGTCCGGGACAGAAATCATCATGAGAAGCAGCCCACTGGTATCAGCATCGGTGACATCATTAGCTCAGCTGTCACAACCTATTTTTGAGCTGCCTTATCACCGGCGAGATGCTCCGGCTTTCCTGCCGCCTTCCCCTTTTGTGTTCCCTTCCCTGTTTGCCCACTTGGAATAAGGCACTGAACAAGTGCCCCGTGCTCCGAATCAGCAGGGCTGGACAACCTGACTCCACATACTTTCTTATGAGAACTTATGAAAAGGAAGAAAAAGAAAAAACCCAACCCAGAACAAACCTCAGACAACTCCCAGTATATACTGACTGTGCAGGAAGGTACCTGTCATTCATCAGCGTGCAACACTTCCCATCCCTGGAAGTGTCCAAGGCCAGGTTGAAGCAACCTGATCTAGTGAAAAACATTCCTACCCATGGCAGGGGTTGGAACAAGATGGTCTTTAAGGTCCCTTCCAACTCAAACCATTCCATGGCTCAATGATAAAGAAAAAACAGCGTGGCTGAAGAGGAACTCTCCCGCCAAAAACTGGGAACCAGGCTGATCCTCTCTCTCCAGAGGCAGTGTGTGGGTATGATGGATATCTGTTTCTAGCAACTGGGAGGATGTTCATCCCTGTGCCCTCACAGCCAGGGCTCCACACACTCCATCCACACGGCTTTTATGCCCA